TCCAGACCAGGCTGATCTTTTCACCTAAGTTTAAATGCAGCATCTCATTTGATGCTACATCAATATAAATTTAAGTTCTTGTTGGCATAAGATTAATCAAAACAGTGAATGCTCAGTACTACTAAAAATGATAACAGATGTTTTAAAGAGCTTTTATATTTATGGAATAAATTACTCATTTATCCCAAAGATACGCTTCATTTTTGGAAAGGGAGTATCTTCTCTTTGGTAATTGCTACAATGAGAACAACACAGGAGAGCAAATCTGGAGAAGAACGCTGGCTTTACTTTTTGCTTTTGAGGAATCGTTTCTTTCCTTCAGTTCTACACAGTCAAACTAGAGGTGTTTGTTGGCCATAAATTATACGATAAAGAAAGGGAAAAACTCTGATGGTTCAGACATTTACGAGAAAGAATTTTAAGCGCACACAGTATCTGTGTTGTTGCTCCTTTTTAATGTGTGTTTTCAGTATACTTCACACATGGGAAATAAGAGTCAAGAGTGACCTACGATAGTACAGGCAGAAACTATTGAAGGTAAAAAACAAAAAACAAGAGATTAAATACCAGCAGAAGCTGTACTTGCATAATCACAGTTGGAACTGTGCAATAGAGTGCAAAATAAAACAGTGGGCAGCCTAACTTTAATTTTCTGTACTTTAGTTAATATAATAAGTTGTATGAAATTATTTTGTGTAATCTTTAGTTTATATTCGGTTACTCTTTTGGAGCTTGATCAAATAAAGTGAAGAATTTCATTTTAATCCAAACAGATCTTGAATATTTCTTTGACTCTTCCTCAGAAGCAAAGCTTTTTATTTTAATTTTATTTTAATTTAGTGGAAGACAATTTTATTTTGCTAATGAATTGAATGCTTTTGAAATGAAACCTTTTGCTGACCTTTTTATTTTAGTCTTGTTGTTGTAAATTTGTCAAACTTCATTGAAGTGTCTTCATTGACAAAAGAGTAACATTTGGCTTTATAGCTTACATTTAGATTTTTCACTTTATTTCATTTACTATCATGGAGGAGTTGAAATCCTCTCACTAAGTGTGAAATTAGTGGCAGGCACTGATCTTACTAAAAATTTGAGTTCCTGAAGTCAGAGACTGAATTTTTTAGGGGCTCAGCAGAATCCTCCCTCTTTGAACTACAAGCAAGAGCAGGACTTTTGGAGTTGAGATACTCTTGGGAAGTTATAAAACACTTCTGTTCTTTGATTTTATGTACTTTTTTCTGTCTGAAGATTGCTAAACTGAAGTTCTGTTTCTCTATGAATCTTCAACAGACTAAACAGCTGGATATGTCAGATCAGTTTTCCACTGTCAGATGCTTTACTTCTAGTTTCAGACTTGGTCATCGTTGTGTGTGATGAATTTTCAGCAAACTCATCTTGATTTTCTGATTCTCTGATCATCTGAGCTGGTTGACTTTCATCTTCTAGCTATGCCAGAATTTTCTAGGTATTCTGAAAGAGTAAAGCAGTCCTGTGAAACATTAGTTTATCCTGAATCTTCAACTTCTCCAGCACTTAAGTCAAACTTTCCTAAAGGTGTAAGAGCCTTGAAGTCATTCTCATCCCTGAATGTAGCTTTGAATTCTTTAGCTTTTTCCTGAGTCTATCTTTAGATCTGAAAGACTGCCAAAATGTATTTATGCTTTACCTTGACTTGTGTTTAATTAAGATGGGAGTAATTTCTCCTGTAATTAGACATTTGCATTTTAAGTTTTATCGTCTCTTCCTGAGCCATGAAAAATGAAAGTAGAAAGACGCTGCTACCTAACGTTCCCAAGTTTCTCACTATTAAGTCATCATCAGAAATTTGAAAGTGGAATTTATTTGATAAGTTTATTACTCTCTGCTTACTGGATTGTAAGGTTGCTGTTGTTCTTTGTCCCTTGCAGCGTCCAACATGGTTTTACTTTTGTTTATTTGCCTATGTGCTGGGAATCTTCCTGTTGATTGTCTTTTCTGTGTTACGTAGTTTACAAACTTGTGGCACAGATGACTAGGAGTTATGTACATGCCCTTAAGAGTGAGAATTTTTGTTTAAGGAAATCATATCAGTAATTGCAAAATAATAATCGGAGCAGAATTCATGGGACTACTTTAATGATTCATAAGATGTTTTACCAAACATGGCAGTGATTTTAAAAAAGAACATGGAAGCAAAATTCATGGAGTCAATATTTAACTTTTCAAACACTAGCTTATAATATTCAGCAATTTCTATGCTAGCATTGGTCAGCTTCAATTCAAGAGTGTCGTATACCCAAACAGGCTACATATAACTTTTTAAAATTAATAATAGTTTTAACATATATTTATAGATTTATATTTTTGCAAGGTGTAGTGCAATTGGATTTGAAAACAAAAAATTTTTTTAAAAGGGTTTTCCTTAAGCAATTTTTAAAAACCTCCTAATTTGCATGGATGAATTTCGAATGTACAGTGCATTAATGTGTGTAAGAATTAATGTGGTTTTCTACTTTCCTGTTAGTGGGTATCCTAGGTTAATTTACCATCCAGAAACACTTATTAACATGCTAGCAGTATACATACTATATATTTTTTGCCTGTGTAACAATTTGTGAAGAGTTTGTGTTTTACATGTTGTTCATCTTCTACTTCACCTGCTATTCGTAGCCTTGACAAGAAACCAAAGTAGTGTTGAGTACAAAGAACAGAGAATCATAATTCCATAGTGAAAATTCTTAAAGTGTTTTTTTTTGTTTTTTGTTTTTATCATGCTATGCTACTGTTCATGTGCATATTAAGATGTGAATGGTTTGTGTTTGCAAACTCTGTTAGGCTGTGTCATCATGCAGAATAAGTTTTGTTATATTCGTTCAGGTGAAGCTAAGTTGGCTCTTACTGTATTTAGCTGCATGAAGCAACTGCATTATCAAAGAAGAATTGGGCTAAGTCAAACTGTAGCCTATAGCTCCTAATAAGGCCAACTAACTAGAGTTAAAATCATTATCGCACTGGTATTAAAGATCTTGATGTATTAATCCTGCAGTGAAAAAACATCTAGAAAGTTTTGCTGGCAAGCAATTACAGCCTGTACAGTTTCAGTAGAGCACATGCACATTTAGCTGCTTCTGCCAGCAAAGTATAACGTAGATTAGGATGGATATCCAAGCAGGAGAATTTATAAAAATCTGCTAATGTGTCCAGCCAGTTCTATGTGTATTGGCACAATTTCGTTCATTCTAAAATGCATAAAGTTCTTACAAAGAATGTATCCAAGTATGGTGTCTATATATCTCTATATCTATATATATCTCCAGTTATTCATTATTCGTTGGTAGATATGTATGTACATGGATTATTCATGGCAGATAAAGCTCAGTAGTCTCTGGAACACTAAAATTAATGAGAATAATGAGAATTTGGAATTCTCTGTGATATAGTATACTTGCAATTGTGAGCTGCAACAGATTGAAGTTACAGAATGATTAAAACCTTCCAAAACCTTGCCATTCTATTATTTGTAAATCATCAGAAAATGAATTTTATTCTTAAGGATGTAGAAAGCAATAATAATCCCAAGTGGTGGTGTAATACTATGATTTACGAAGGGCGTGCCCTTTGTTGTATTTTGAATGATAGATGCACAACAGAGCAGTAACTAGAAAGTAATCCTTATAATGTCTTTTCTGCATGTCACTCTGAAAATATTTAAGAATGTAATTAAAACACAAGAGTTGAAAAAGAATGAGTTGTATATTCACTAATTATCTAACTACCCACTATTTAATTTGAGCAGCACGTAATAGCTACTGCCCATCCTTGCAGGTTGTTAACAATTAATGAGATAATAAAGAGCTTGCACATTTGATGTTGGGAGTCACAGCTGAAGGAAAAATTATTCAACACATTGCCTTATTCTTAGATTTTAACTGTAATTGTTCAGCATATTCACCATATGTCTGAGTGACTCATGCCTCTGGCTGTACTTCTGCCAAAGTAAAGATTTTGGACAGTTATGGAGTATTCATAACACAAACGTGAAGTGTTACGAAGTGAAAAATAAGATGAGTTTTGAGTTATCCATGCCTTTGTATGTCTTCTCCTTTACTTTTTTTATAGACTTCTTTTATTAAAAACATACTATTCAAATGGTTTAGGCCAATATTAGTTGACTTGTTATGTTTCCATGCCACACATCAGAAAGCACGTAAGTATATGGATATATCTCTTGCTGACTATAAGTATACATAGAAGTTACAGGTTGGCTGTTGGACATTATGGCTAATGAAGGAGCCAACACTTAATTTCTTCTCTGCTGCATAATATATTATACCATTATTATATTATTATAGTATTATTATATATATTTTGAATTTAATATGAACCCTTATTATTATGGTTTGGGTTTGTTTTTTTTTTTTTACAGGATGATATCACCTAAAGATCCCACTCAATTTTACAGCCTGTTGTACTTGGTAAAATATCAATATGAAATATGAAAAACAGATAGGCAGCTGCAAACTCTATTTTGCCATTTTAAGTCAGAGCTTGAAAATTTTACAACATGTAAATGTCTTTTGTCTGACTGCCATCTCCAGGCTATTGTCTAGAAAAACTAATCCAAATGCAGGCTTCATACCTGCAAGCACATCTCTTGTGTCAGTAGTCTTGTTCAGCTCATTAACTCACTTACATGTCCCACAATTCACACCCATTGGGAATATTTTCTGTGTTTGTTTTCATCTAAGGGTTTTGTTCTGTGTATAAGGTTTAGTCCATTCAAAAGGAAGGCCTCTTTTAATAACAACAGGATCTCTGTTGGAGACATCATACCTCTGGCTTGCGCCATGTTAATTCTGTTCTCAGAGAGATTAATTTGGGGCAGCAGCCGTATAAAACCACCTCTTCCTATGTTTTTACCAGCACCTTATCATTTTGCTGTTAGTTATAATTAAACCCATAGTCTTAATTTGTATGCTTACAAAAGCTGAATGTTCTGATTCTTTCTTTTATTGCATCAGGCTATGTTTGATGCTTTGTCCGATCTCCCTGAGTGGTATGGTATAAAAGAAATGCAAGCAAATTGGATAGGTGACTGTGTTGGATGCTATCTTGACTTCTCACTAAAGGTAAGTCAGAAATCTCAGTGCTGCTACCTTGGTTGGGCTAACCACAACCACTGAAATGCATGATGGGAATGGATTTTCAGATCTAAAGAGCTTGAAACCTACTAAAAGAGATTATTATACGTTCATGCCCAGACCAGCACAGGTTCTGAAGAGCAGCACTTGTGGGTTGAAGAGATACTCCCCTGCTGTCCTCCTTAGGAAAGGGTTTGTGTGTTCAAGTGCAACATCGGATGCAAATTGACTGTGTGTATTTGTGCCAAAATACATGCCAGCTAATAAGCATTCCTGAAAGCCAGGACATTTAGGGGAGCAGTACCGAGAGCAGTATCAAGTGGCACTGCACAAGTCAGCTGGGATCTAGCTGGGCTTTAGCTCCGCTCTGCACAGCAGCTTCTCTGTCAGACCCAAGCTGACCTCAGGCAAGCCACTTTATTGATGTTTGTCCATTATTTAATTTATTACATACAGGAATTAAAATAATGAAAACCAGACAATTAGGTAGTGATGGAGCTACAGAGAAGTCTGGATAGAAAGAAAGGAGGGGAAGGAAAGAGAAACCTTAAGAGAATTATAATTATCTGAAGAAAAATGGTAAAATGAAGTCCTTCTGAAGCGATGCAAAAGGCTTTTTGAATATGATAGTGACAGAAGAGATTTTCAGAGACCCTGATGGAATTTCAGCCCTTGGTCTTCAGAGCTTTATTGTGCTCATTTACTCTGGTCTAACATTTTAAAAGTGAAGTCTTATTTTAAAATACTGAAATTTTGGGAACCTCAGATAGAGACAGCTTAAACTTTCTTAATACCTCTGAACTGCACACTGCTAGAAGGTGCATTTTTGTATTTAAGTTATTTTTGTCAATTGTTTCTGAAAATGTGTCAATATCAATCAATACCTGTTGTAGAAAGATCTCCTTCTAAGACCCCCATACACTCCAGAGTTGATTGACCTAAAATATAAAGCCTGTTGATAGTGCTGGGTGATAATTCTTAAGCAATTCTTAAGCAGCCTTCTGGGTTTAGAATTCTCATTTTAAGTCCAGTTGTTTTAATGTTGTGCCACCTTTTATTATTTTATTCCTGTACGTAAGTTGCAGCATTGACTTCATCAGAGAAGTGTGGTGAAAAGCCTGTAGCTGAGAAAATCTTAAATTCTCCTTAGATTTCAGAGGTAACATTTCACTTCCGTTTCTTGGAAACAGGGCATGCATATTAAAAGGGAGTAGAAGGATTCCAGGTTACTTAACCAGGGATTGAATCAAGCTCAGTAGCACAATGTAATATTACATAGGGGTTTAGAATATAAATTTTTTTTTATATATTTGGATAAACTGAGGCAAGATTGTAAAGGAGCTTTCTCAAGTAAAAGTAAATTCTGTCAAGATTTGATTCTAGAAACTCCCTATAGTGGGAATGCATCTGGCTTTGATATTCAGAATTGTATATTTCTACAGGGTGATGTATATTTGTTACTTGCATAAAAAGGAAGGGGAGTCTAAAACCACTGCTCTTCCAATGGAGAAAAAAGTAAATTCATCGGGGATATTTTCTGCTCCTTTTCAGGTTAACGGTAAAGTAACAGAAGAGAAGCTAGCTGCTTACACCTATACGCCTGAAGCCATTTATGGAGCTTCCCATTTATATATCTTACCGACTCACAGACTGCTGCATGGGAATAGCAGTCTCAAGAAAGTCTTTCAGAGGGAGTTCAGCCCAGGGAAAGGTGATGTTTTTCTCATACTGCATTTTGTTGTAGAAGAGTAAGAATTTTAGAGAGTGATCTTCAGAGAATGTGTGTCAAGCTGAGCATGAGCTGTTCCTGTTGAGAGGGAACAAGTCTTTTGATTCTTTGTATATGTCAAACAGTATCACATCAGCCTGTCCTGGCTTCAGATACAGTAATAGCAGCTACATTAGAATTCCTCCTTTTATAATGGCTGTAAAACTTCATAGTATATAAAAGCAGTGGAACAGATTCTTGTTTCCTCATGTACCAGAAGTGAATAGTCCAACTCTGACTATGCCAGCCCATTGGAAAATCTCATGGCTATATGGTAATTTGTCGTTAGCACAAAGACAGCAGAACCAGCTCTTGCACCAACAATGATCTCTTTCTGTCATAGGGAATATCAAGAGATCATTAATACGTAGCAAATACATTGCTAGATAGCAAAACAATACTCTGCTGTGCAGATCCTTAGGTAATACAAGATTCTAATGGAGTAAATTCAGAGTAGCCCTATGGGAGGTCCTGACTTGTACAGAGCATACAAGTAAGAGGTAATTCTTTAATTGGGGTTGACTGATTTCCTGAAGGCTCCTACCACCAATTGCCTTTATTTAGCATCCCTGGCCTACTATTTTGTTGTTGTTTGGAAAACCTGGAGACTATAAGAGTAAATACAAAGTATACTGAATATTTTTTGTTTCCACTTCAGGCCGGTGTTCAATATTTACTTTTTCCTCACTGGTAAACATGTGGCTTATTGTCTATATAACATCTGATGTCAACAGCAATGAAGCAGGAATCTTGTGGGAAAATGTGATGGTTGAACAGAACCTGCTTTATTTTTGAGTGCTTCGTTTCTATAACTCTAATAAAGTTCACTTCCTAGCAGAAAAAAATGGAGCCTGAATGTGTTGGGTATGTAGAGCCCTTGTCTCAGAGCTGAGCAAAGCTTGGAGAATTTTTGTTAAGGAGCAAAGAAAGAAATTTGCAGTTCTTACAATTCAGTAATTCACTAACTCCAGAAACGCACATCCATGTACATGCCTGTATCTTTGTTGGATCTTGTGCTTTAAGCCAAACCACACAGGTGCAAAACTTGTTTTTAATAAGGACTACAATATATTTTATATATTGTTTTTACATGAAAATACTTGAAAGGCTTTTTTTGTGTCTGTTAACAATAAATTTCACCTTTTGGTTGAGCTATTAAGAAACTCTCATCCACAATAATGATAGCCATAAGACCTTGAAAAAGAGGCTTTAAAGTGGACACAATTCCAGAATCGTAACTCTGCTATTGTTGTGTACTCCTGCTATTCATAAATATACTTATATGCATTCTTCAGTTGAAATTGGCTTGTATTTCTTACTATTTTCTTGAACATTTCAAAGGCATGGACTGGTATTTTCCAAAGAAGATAACATAAAGGAGAAGAACTTCTACATGGACTTTCAGATTTGCATTTCAGCCATGGTACATATAAAGGGTCAACAATGGCATTTAAGTAAAAAGAAATTTTTGATGGCCTTGAATGGACCGTATTTTCGTATTAACCAAGATTTTTTAAAACATTCACCAGTAACATTAAAATTTTAATTGTTTTCTTTTCAGCAGAGATAGTCTTGTAACTCCTTTTCTTCACTGTGTTCTCATTTAAATAATTAGGAGGGTATGTTTTTATGTTTTCTAGGAGAGGAAAATAAAAAGATGTTGTATATTCTAATTTTTTAGAAAATTTAGGCTATTATTATTTAAATAGAGGTGAGCAACCAGTTTTCAAACATTCTTTTTTTTTTAGCCTAGCAAAATTTACATTAAATTAGAATCTGGTAAGTCTTCTAGTTTTGTCAGTGTGAGGTATCTGAGATACAAAGATTTGATCCTTACATTGTTCATTATCTCATTATAATACTGTGCATACATTCTTTTACATTTGTAACTGTAATATCATCTCTTTACGGCTATTATAATAATGATGTGAGCAAATGAGCAAAAGAAAGAGTGCCTTCATAAACTGGAGTTATTATTTTGGGTTCCAGCATAAAATCAAAATTATTGCTGGGTGGAAGAGAGAAGTTATTTTTAAAAGCAGACTGTCCTACCCACTCAGCATCTTGTTCATGAGGCTTTTTGCTTAGTTGCTTTTAAAGAGTGAAATGATTCCTTTTGTGTGTTTTTTAAACAGAGGAGGAAAACTATGTGCGGTGGTTTGAACGTGAGAAATTTTATCTAGAATACGGGTATCTCTGAGACCTGAAATTTGAAAAAGTAGTAATCAGAAATAAATAAATATATTGTTTGTGTTAACAAGACTGATGAGATATAGTAGCCCTATTCTCTAAAATGCTGTTATTTTATTTCAAGCAGATTTTGTGTGTAGCAGTATAAGACAGATTTTCCTCAGCTTAGCTATGAAGATAGGTGAAAGGAAGCTCTTAACAGTCTATATTTTAATTATTTTAATTATTTAATTATTTTAATTATCATCAACTTCAAGGCACTGAAAAAGTTAGAAACAGGTCCAAATTGGGATGTGGGGTTTGAATCTTCAAAACTGGGAGTATTCAGGTTTGATTTTCTTCTTGCCAAGCCACCAAAGCTGCACATTGTAGATCAATTTCAGTTTATCACCCTTGATTCTCTCCTCTTCTCTCTCCCGTTCCTGTGGACATTAGGTTCCTCATCTCTAATATGAATATGAATATTCTGTTTGGAAATCAATTGGTTATTTAGGTTTCTTTTTTTACACTGGTCAGTATTTCTCATGCTTTGTAGTTCTCCTGTAAGAAAGCAAATCATAAGCATAGTCTATATGCTCCGCTTCAGTTTCATCTGAATAACTGAATTTTTTTTGCTTAATTTTGTAATGTCTGCTAGTATATAATTCAGGGCTCACTAGAGCCAATTCATACAACTCTGCAGCACAAAAATAGTGGTCAAGGACTCACTATTTTGATTGTTATAGTCCAAATCTTACTCCATTTTTATTCAGGTGTTTGTTATAAGTATATTTTCTAGTCATGAAAATTTATCAGTCACACTTACTGAACATTGTAATACGTCTGAACTTTTTAGAAATGTGATTAGGCTTTTCATTTTCTTTCTTATTTAAACAAAATTCTAATGTCATGCATATTTAAGATAAACTGGGTTTTAATAGTAAGTAATGTTCTTAGCATATTTTCTGTCATATTTTACTTACCGTGATCATTACATTTGTTTTCAGACTCGCTTACTTCAGTGACAGCTGTGAATTTGCTTACCCATCAGGAGATTCCTGTAGTCATCTCAGCAAAAACTGATTTTGAGAATTTTCTCGATACTAAAATAGGTATGTGACATTTAATGTGTAAGTGAAACAGTATAGTTTTCAATTGCTGTGTTGGAGCACCAGATAATGTTGAGGCAAATCTTTGAACACGGTGGCTCTCTTCTGGACTTTGGAATCCTGTTCTTCATTACTGTTCTTCATTAATGAAGAAGGAAGGGAAAAGTAGCTATGTGGAATCTGTCTGGGGAAGAGATTTACAGGATGATAAATTTTAATGGAAACATTATAAAATTAGTACGTTTAATGAGCTAAATTTGAGGATCTGCATATCTTAAGAGGATTGATTACCTACAGTGAATGTGTATTTGGCTGTCTCTCACCATCCTTAATCAAAACAGAACTGTACCATTGTTTGACATAAACATTTTGCAAACAACCCAAACTTTCACCTTGTTTTTTGTCTTATGTTTACATAAATTATGTGCATCCTCATAGAGAAATGTTTCAGACAATAAATGTACGAAACTTCCAAGTTTGACTTTTATTTGATAATATTTGTCTTGAGATCAGTAAAATAAATCAGAATAGGTAATAATTCTGTTTAGGTAGTCTTGGACAGTTATCTTGGACCCTTTATCTCTAAAGGAAGCATTCCCATGATTTAGGCACCTGTCATGGTTTAACCCCACGCAGCCGCTCACTTACCCCCCCTCCGGGGGGATGGGGGAGAGAATCGGGAGAGCACAAGTAGGAAAACCCCCGGGTTGAGATAAAACAGTTTAATAATTGAAATAAAACAAAATAGAACAGTAATAGTAACAGTGAGGACAACAACAATAACAGAATATGCAAAGCAGGCGATGCACAATGCAACTGCTCACCGACCACCAACCGCGTGTC